CTCCTGTCTCACTGTCTTACTGTCTCCTGTCTTACTGTCTCCTGTCTTACTGTCTCACTGTCTTACTGTCTCACGTCTTACTGTCTCCTGTCTCCTGTCATACTGTCTCCTGTCATACTGTCTCCTGTCTTACTGTCTCCTGTCTTACTGTCCCCTATCTCCTGTCTTACTGTCTCCTGTCTTACTGTCTCCTGTCGTACTGTCTCCTGTCGTACTGTCTCCTGTCTTACTGTCTCCTGTCGTACTCTCTCCTGTCTCACTGTCGTACTGTCTCCTGTCTCACTGTCTTACTGTCTCCTGTCGTACTGTCTCCTGTCTCACTGTCGTACTGTCTCCTGTCTCACTGTCGTACTGTCTCCTGTCTCACTGTCGTACTGTCTCCTGTCGTACTGTCTCCTGTCGTACTGTCTCTTGTCTTACTGTCGTACTGTCTCCTTTCTTACTGTCTCCTGTCTCACTGTCTCCTGTTTGACGGGGATTAGTTTTTCATCTCGGTACCTCCCCCCCGGGTGGTGCAGTTTGCTCCCACAGTCTGGATTACTGACAGACACAGACGGACAGATCTGTCCACAGTTTTGTTTATTAATTTTGTTATATTCATACACCAATAAAGAATAAAGCACAGTGTTCTCTCTAGTACAAAACACAATCTATGGAAAAGTGTCATATTTATTATTCCCAAGATTTTACCTCCTTAACTACTAATTCATTAATAATACAAGTTTAGCATTAGTGCAGACACTAAATATGTATATACAAGATGATAGACAGCAATAAATACCATTATAAACTTGATGTTGCACAATTGTTTTTAAATATAATTATGTTAACATCATGAGACACTAACGTGACGGCCTCTCACACCATGTTACCGGGTCACTGTTCACCTGTACGACTTTTCACCTGAAGCTCAGCAGCTCTTTAACAACGGTCAACGTTTATTGATCACCTTCAGATTTGAATTGAACCCGTTTGAACCCTAAAAACGTCTTTTGTGTTTCTTCGTCTGTGGTTTTCCAGCTGCTGGCTCCGTCCGTGGAGTGGTTGGACTACCTGTCTTACTCTCTGTCTCCTCTGGAGCTCAACGATACCGAAGCCGTCGTCCTGTACGCCCGAGAGTATCTGCAGCAGGTGTCTGACCTCATCAACAAGACGGACCGCAGGTGAGTCCGGGATCACCTGCTGCCGTGTCCACCTACACACGGCAGCAGGTGTCTCACCTATCTACCTGTCTGTCTGTCTGTCTCCTAGTCTGCTAAACAACTACATGATGTGGACACTGGTTCAGAAGAGTGTGGCCAGTTTGGATCAACGCTTTGAGAACGCTCAGGACAAACTACTGGAGAGTCTCTACGGGACCAAGAAGGTACATCTACTTCTACTGCTACTACAAGTACTACTACTGTTACTGCTACAAATACTACAGACACTACTACCGTTACTGATCCAGTTATTTCTTCTTACTGTAGCAGGTACAAATATTTTTAATACTACATTAACGACGGTCGGTAATCCTCCTCCCAGTTCTGTTGAAGGAACTTTAACTGGTTTATCTGTATCCATTTATGCTTCTTACTGGTTTTAATGGGTTCTACTTGGAGTAACCAGTTTGAAGTGTTTCCACTGGGCTGTAATGGGTTTTTTGGCTGGTTCTGACCTGGTTTTGGAAGCTAAGCCTGTGCTGCTGTACTGGGGAAACTGGTTTCTTACTTCTGTTATTGGTTCTAACTTGTGTGCAACTAACTGGTCCGCTGTATCTGTAGTTGTACTGGCTCTATCTGGTTAACTCTAAGTGGTTCCAAATGTCTGTAATTGGTTCTTGTGGATCAATGCTGGTTTTAACTGGTTGAGGATTCCAGGAATCTTCCGCCCCCACCGTGCTACTGGAGACGCTAATGAATGGGCCAGTAGAAATTGGTTTTATTTACCTCTATCTGATATCAACTGGCTCCAACTGGTTTTGGAAACCAGGAAGGTTCCACCTCTGCTGGTACTAATGGGGAGATGAACCAGGTTCTAACTGGTAAGTGCATGCCTCCAGCTCTCAGCTGGTTTTGGGCCGGTGTGGGTACCTATGGGTAACAGGTTCCAGCTGTCTGTACTTGGTCCTTACTGGTCTGCTACTTTCTGTAACTTTTAATAAATGTCTGTAACTGGTTGTGGTTCGTTGCAGTCCTGCACCCCACGCTGGCAGACCTGTATCGGGAACACTGACGACACCCTGGGCTTCGCTCTGGGAGCGCTCTTTGTTAAGGCCACCTTCGACAAGCACAGCAAAGAGATCGTAAGTCACAGAACTGAAACCTGAGGAAACACTGATCAAAAGATCCAGGTGGTCCAGGATCAGGTGCAGGTCTGACCTCCTGTCTCTTTCCCTCAGGCCGAGGAGATGATTAATGAGATCCGATCAGCATTTAAAGAAGCTCTGGACCGACTCAACTGGATGGACGACCACACGAGACATGCTGCTAAAGACAAGGTACAGAGACAGGTGGACAGACAAGGGGACAGATAGGTGGACAGGTAGGTAGACAGACAGGTGGACAGGTAGGTAGACAGACAGGTGGACAGGTAGGTAGACAGACAGGTAGTTCAACAGGTAGACAGACATGTGGACCGACAGTGGGACAGATAGGAAGACAGACAGGGGGACATACAGGTAAAGAGACTGGTGCACAGACAGGTAGACTTACAGGTGGACAAATAGGTAGACTGATAAGTGGACAGACAGGTGGAGGTAAGTGTGCTGATTGGTCTCATTGTCTGTTTGTCTCCATTAGGCAGATGCAATCTACGACATGATTGGTTTCCCAGAATTCATCCTGGACCCCAAAGAGCTGGACGACGTGTTTGACGGGGTGAGTGACAGCTGTCAATCATGTCTCATTCACCTGTAGACAGGAAGGACAGAGTGTCTCACTGTCTCACTGTGTTTTAGTATGACGTGTCCGACGACAGCTTCTTCCAGAACATGCTGAACTTCTACAACTTCTCCTCCCGAGTGATGGCCGACCAGCTGAGGAAGACTCCCAACAAAGACCAGTAATGATGATGAAGACCAGTAACACACACCAGCACAACCAGTCACATGCTTTATGAAACTGTGGTTAAAGATGAGAAAAGATCTGTAGAGGAAACTGGTAGAACCACAGATTAACTCCTCTCCTCTCCTCATCTCCTCTCCTCATCTCTTTTCCTTGTCTCCTCCTCTCAGGTGGAGTATGACTCCTCCCACAGTTAACGCCTACTACATGCCCACGAAGAACGGCATCGTCTTCCCTGCTGGGATACTGCAAGCTCCTTTCTACGCCCACGACCACCCCAAGTCTGTTTACCTCCACCTGTCTGTCTGTGTGTCCACCTGTCTGTCTGTTAGGACATACTACACCTGTGAAATAGAAATCACTGATGAAGATGAAACCTGTGTCTTATACAAACGCATATTAACAAGAGACAGACTGGATAGTGATGAAGGTTCCTGCTCTCCAGAGGATGAACCTGTAGACTGTAATCACCTTCAGGACGAATGTTGTTTCAGTATTGAGCTCTGCAGCCTTTAGGGGGCGCTGTCAGTCTCTGGTTTCTGGACCCGTCTGGGTCTTGTATATAATACTTATATATCATATATAATATTTTGTGTCTGTTTTCAGGGCGTTGAACTTCGGTGGGATTGGGGTGGTGATGGGTCACGAGCTCACACACGCCTTCGATGATCAGGGTGAGTTTGAGTCCAGTTTACTTCCTGTCACATGATGTGTTCACTGCCCTCTGACTTTGGATGTAAATATGAGACTTGTGTTCAAAGATAAAGATGTTAACTGTTAGAATACTTTCAGATGGTACTTTATATTACATCTACATTAAAATGTGACTTTCCCAGTGGTGGTTAGTACGTTTTAAAGTGATTATGAGAGTCATGAGTTGATTTTATTTGAAATTAGACCAGAAATAAAAGAGAAATATAATGCGACAACAACTGTAGGAAACCTTCAGCAACTTCTTGGACTCGGGTAGAAATATCAGAGAGGGAACCTGGTTTGAAAGTTAATTTATTTACATTGAGACGGTTTCTTTGATGCTTCTTTGTGGTTTCTAGAGTTCTGGTTGTCAGTTTGATCTTCAGGGTTGTTATCAAGATGAACACTATCTGCATATCAAATGATGTTGAGTTCTTTCACTTTAAACAATGAACTTTGGCCGACATGTTTGTTTCATGTGGATGTTTGTTCTTCACCATTAGTCAGAACTGAAGTGTATATATAGTATATGAAATAGAAGTGAATGCGTCACATGAACCTCTCAGACTTAAAGTCCTCTTGTTCATTGACGTGTCTCCTCTCTGCTGCCGTCAGGTCGTGAGTACGATAAAGAAGGAAACCTGAGGCCGTGGTGGCAGAACTCGTCGGTGGAGGCATTTCGTCAGAGAACCGAGTGCATGATGGACCAGTACAACCACTACACCGTCAACGGAGAACACGTCAACGGGAAGCAGACGCTCGGGGAAAACATTGCAGACAACGGAGGACTGAAGGCGGCATACCATGTTAGTACGAACGTAGAATAACCAACTGAACCATGACTCATATCAACCAAAACATACCAAGTTGGACTGTATCATGTGTCCACACCACACCGGGTCATGTTTGTTTACATAATCACAACTAAATTAATGTTTTTGACTTCAGGCCTATCGGTCGTGGGTCCAAAGGAACGGGGAGGAAAAGAGGCTTCCTGCCGTCAACCTGACCAACGATCAGCTCTTCTTCTTGGGATTCGCTCAGGTGAGTCAAACAAAAGCACCTCAGTCACCAGAACTGTGTCCCACATGGTTCTGTACTGGTGTCCCACAGGGTTCTGTACTGGTGTCCCACAGGGTTCTATCCTGGGGCCCCTTCTGTTTCTATTAACGACCCACGTTCTGCTCATCCGGATGTCGACTCACGTTATACGCTGATGACACGGTGATTTATGTGCCGGCTTTAGTCATGCCTTAAATTAAACGTTAACGTTAGCTTAGCATGCTAATGACCAGTGTGTATGATTTCTGCACCAGACAGACTGATGAGGTTCTCGTTAGAGATGCGTGTCAATAGTTGACTCGGTGATTTACCCTCGCTAGTAGCCAACAGAAATCCTAGTTGATAAACGTATTATTATTTATTATATTATAGTAATTTATACATTTAAATTACATGTGCTTACATATGCTATTACTGTTGCTGGGTTCAGTGGTCAGTCTGGTACTTTCTGCTCGACGGCCGGCATCACACGAAAACTAGCTTACTAGCTAGCTAGCCCATATGTTACAGACTAAAGCTAGCGACCTAGCTAGCGACCTAACTAGCGACCTAGCGTGCTATGGATCAATGAAGCAAGCTAACAAGCAAGTTGTATTGTTCCTATTGTTTGTATTTGTATTTTCATTATTGTGCAAATAAACCAAACTAAATCTAACTGTTGCTAACAACGGCTGAGTGGTTCGAGCAAAAATACCCCACCACCCACCCACCCACCCAATCAGGAAACAGCTGACCTATCATATGTCACGAAGGGAAATGAAGCGTGAAAAACAAAATTGTATTTTGTGTTTTCAGGTGTGGTGTTCGGTCCGTACCCCGGAGAGCGCTCACGAGGGTCTGGTGACCGACCCCCACAGCCCCCCCCGCTACCGGGTCATCGGCACGTTGGCCAACTCTCCGGACTTCAGCCGCCACTTCAACTGTCCCGTGGGGACGCCCATGAACACCGGGCGGCGCTGCGAGGTCTGGTAGACTGACCCAAGAGGACCGGGGGGCGGGGTCAGAGGGGGCGGGATCAGAGTGGCGGGTCTAATGAGCTCAGTCTGGTATTTAACATGTTAACGAGTCAGATTGTTAATTAGCCTGGTTAGTGTCTTAATTAGAAAAGTTTATCAGGTGTTCGTGACGATGACGAGCTGTAATCTTCACCTTCATTCCTTTAATATAAATCTATTGATTAGAGACGATCAGACGGACTTTCTGTCTGGAATCTAAACGGACTCAGGTGGACTTCAGAGACCTGAAGGACTGATGATGATGAAGAAGCCACATGGGAGGATGTTGCTGATTTCTGCTTAATCACCGTTATTATTATTATTATTATTAATGGGCTTTGGTTTGTGTGTGTTTGTGTGTGCGTGTGGGTAAAACTCTCTGATGACATCACTGTGATGACCTCATACAAAGGTTGAACTGTTGCATCATCGTCACGGCCGTGTGTACAGAAGCTGTCGTCTGATTCATTGATCGATTCACGAGCTTTTTAAGGCATTTTATTTCTGGTTCAACGCAAATTAGATAATTAATCAATGAATTAAAGTATTAAAGGGTTTTAATGGGTTCTGTTTTGCGCTTTATGACGTTTTTAAGGAGGAAAAGTCCTTAAAATGGACCAAATAGTATGAAAAGTGTCTTTGAATGTTTCTTCATTCTTTATTGAAACTTGTTAAGGTTTAAATAAACGAAGAGTTTTCATGTTTTTGGTCCATTTTAAGTCTTTTTCTGCCCTTAAAAGGTTCTTAAACCTTGTAGAAAATCTAATATATAATCATTAAAATGACCGTAATGACATCGTTATTAAAAGGTGAATGCATGGAATTTAAAGTAAAAACTAAAGGATGTCTCCGCCATGCTGGTGTCGTCATGGTAACAGAAATACAACCTGTTGAGTGTTAATCAGATTATTATGATTAAACTGAATTTAAAATGTTGCCTTAATTCTTTAGAAAAATGCCTTAAAAAAATCCCATTAATCAATTAATTTAACACCTTCATCTGAATATATTACGGTTCATTCAGATATCCAATAATTAGCCCCTTAAAATATGAAAATAACATAAATATACCATCTCCTGTTTCATAACATAGCCTTTATTTTGTCCTTTTAAAGTACTTTATTCACGCCAGATTTTAGATGCACAAGTAAATGTGTGAAATTAAAACGAACTTTAACAAGCTGAATAATTTAGGCCTTTTCTCGACGTGTTTCAAATGTTCCTCAGCTCTTAAAAGCCTTAATTTAATTATGATCTTCAGTTTTAAGGTAGAAATGAAGAGATGTTGTATTTTACTGGACATTGAACTCACATCAGTAGAACCTGAGTAGAACCTGCAGAGTTCATCAATTAACATCAGTGATGGAAATAATCAGACGTTGGTGTAAAACTTGGAAATACCGCCTTAAAACAAAGTCAAATGATGAAATATTAAAGAAATAAAGTCTCTAACTTAAAGAAGTGAGTAAAGATGAAGAGTTCAACATGTTTCACTTTTAAAAACATGTCACCTCAACTTCATTACCCACAATCCCCCAGTGTTGCTGTTCAGTGCAGGTAGCTGCCTCTGACAGCAGGTGGCGCTGCTCACCTGGATACTCTGTGTGTGTGTGTGTGTGTGTGTGTGTGTGTGGGTGCGTGCGTGCGTGCGCGCGCTTTGCCTCATGATGACGTCACTGTCCCGTTCAGCTCGTGCGTGTCATAGTTTGTTTAGCAGAAGAAGAAGCTGCTTCCTGCCAAAGAAGTTTCTGTGTGTGTGTGTGTGTGTGTACAGTAGATCTCATGTAGAATGAACTCTGTGTCCTGAAGGGGGCGTCACCACTCTGCTCGTCCAATCAGAGCGCTGCGTTACAAACATAATAAACACTGAATATCATAAAACTCTCAGTCGTGCTGTTATTATGAAAACTACACTCGTGATATCCCATAATGCACCTGTGTCATCTGCTTCACTTCAAAATAAAAGGATCTGGTAAAAAAATAAAATACTTTGTTATAAGTAAAAATCTTGCATTTAAAATATTTCTGCAGTAAAAAAACAAAAGTACTATAAGCTAAATGTACTTAAAGTAGCAAAAGTACTTGTTTGTCTTTATACTTGTACTTGATACAGAACTCTCTATTCTGCATATATAAAGTAGTGAATGCATATTTATTTTAAAATATTTTAAAAAGAGTACTTGTGTTGTGTGGTATTACTATATTTAGAAAAGATTAGAATACACTGAAAAATATTCCTGCATTCAGTATGTTAGTGTAAAAGTACACAGGTAGTACACAGTATCAACATGTACTTTATTTTAGTACTGTGTTTATTGGTAATGAATACCTTTATATAATATTATGAATAATAAGTATTATTCACATGTGTGTATATATATATATATATAAATATATATGTATATGT